GGGCTCGGCACCCCCCCGCCGGCCCCCACTGAACGGAGCCCTGCTTCCTCCTCGCCGCATCCCTGAGGGAAGCGCCGCCTCTGCTCCCGGGTCCTCCGCCCGCCCGCTCCTTCCTGGCCGGACCCCGCCGCGCTCCACCCCAGTGGCCGGAGAAGCAGGTCTCCAGCCAGCCCTCGCGAGCTGCCCGCTTGCTCCCCGCCACCCGGCCTCCTCGGATCCCTCGGCGGGGCGCTGAGGCGGGGGAAGAAGGGGCCGGGGTCGCCACGGCGGAGGTTGCTGCCGCCACCCCCCTGCGGGGGTGGCCGGGGTTCCCGGCTGGGGGGGCACCGTTCTGGGTGAGGCATCCACCATGGTGAGGCCCCTGAGCCGCTGCGCCCGCGCCCCCCCGGCCGCCGCTGTCTCCTGCCCGTCGGTGCTGCTGCTGCTCCCCCGCCTGCTGTTGCTCCTCCATCTCCAGATCGGATCACGGTGAGGGAAAGATGAGCGAGGAGACGGCGACTTCTGACAACGAGTAAGCGCCTCGTTCATCTTGATTGCTACCCCCCCCCACCGGCTCCCCCCTCCGCATTCCCCTAGACCCCTCCGGAAAGCTTGCAACCCTGGAGAGTTCGGTGCGTCTTGTTCGGAGATAACTGATTTCTTAGCCATTTTTAGGGTCAGCCCCCCCCCCCCGCATCTAGTTGCTTTCTGGTGGGGTATTCAGGGTGTCAAGTGTTGGGATGGAATGGCAATTGTATGTCCACGGGAAGGAGTCATGTGGGTGGTTGGAAGTGGAGTAGCGATTACCCCTTTTCCTGGAGACCCCCGTCCGGTCCTTTCTCTCTGGCGTACCAGCCAGCATACCTTGAATAGCCATCCTGCTTCCTTTATAGCTATTTCACTGGGAAACTAACGTGTGGGAGCACCTCCTGCAGCAAACTGCTCTTGAATCTTAATTCGATGAGTCAGTGACTTTTAAATACAGATTAAGCCTTCCCCCCTCCTGTAAACTTGTGACCTATAAGAGTCTTGTAAAAATTAAAAAAAAAAAAAAAATAGGGTTAGGGAAACATTTTTAGAATTTAATGGGATTAAGGACTCCTGGAGTGTGGGAGATGTTGAGCTTGTGTTTACCTTTGTGACTATTGGACGTGTTTTCATCGGGAACGTAGAAAAATTTGAATGCTAATTTTTGCTCTTTGACTATATTAAAACATACCACTTACGTCGATTTAACTGAATTTACATTGCTGAAAATGGTGATTTCATCAACTTCTGGAGTATTCTGATTTAAGTTTTTGCTTATTTGGGCTGTCCTTGTGTTTTCCAACGAAATACTTTACCGTTTAAATATTTTGTTTTAACGTAACAGCTACCCGGAGGAATAATAGTTACAGTTTTCTATTGAGAAGGAATTTAATTCCATGCAGAATATTAGTATTCTCTTTCTTGTAATTCTGTTCAAGTTTTGTTTATCTTTGGAGGGTCGGAAAGAGTTAAATGAGTTAGGACTAGTCCTTAGGATGCATTCCTTTAAATAACGTGCATTCCTCAAGTCAGACCTTTTTTGAGAGCACTTTAAAGTCTGTAGCAGTGTCCTGTTTAACATAAAATAGCTTAGAGAAAGGCCTAGCAACGTCCTCCCCCCTTTCCCCTCCCCGAAAAGCACAGGCTTCTGATGAGCGGGTGTAGAAGGAGGTAGATTGCTGCAGTGTCAGTGCAGTGTAGAAGCAGAAGTGGCCGCCATGTTCTCTCTCTTTTTGTGAATCGCCCTCATTTGCATAGCACAGTCTTCATTCATAAAAAAAATAATTAAACATCCATCACCTTGGACATCTTGAAAGGATTTTCCAACAACAACAACAAAAAAATCAAAGCTGTTTATCTGTTTTCATGCAGATTTTTGAGTTCGGGAAGTAAGGAGAATTTGAAATTCTAGTTTAAATTTCAGCACATACGCACACACAAACAACTACCCCTGTTCTCAGAATGTTGACACAGTTATGTGGGAAATATCAGTTCGGGGAGGTGCTGAGATCACGTGATCGCCTCCATTCATAAAATACCTGGCTGTCCATTCACAGTGCAGTACAGTGTCTCACTGCCTTCTGCAGATTAAACCTACTTTGAGGGAGATCAAGAAGTCTATCTGAGATAATGGTTGGTTAGGAGGAAACTGCTAGAAATGCTGACCAGAATGATAGTAACTTTTACTTGTATCTTTAAAGCAAGTAGCTTGGATCAAAAATGTTAAATTCTATTTGAGATGGGAGGAGACTTCTTACCAGTTCTTTTTTTTTTTTTAAGTAGTGAATATCTCAGTGTAGCTGCAGCTAATAGAAAAACATGATGGGATGTGAGTTGACGAACATGTAAAATATATTGTACAAAAAAATGGGCCATTTTTTTGTACTTGCCATGGATAAATTGAGAGAGCAGTTTTTTTCTTCCTTTTTTTTTTTTTTTTTTTGTAGTGATGATACAGCCCTTCCACTAAGATGAGAAAATATCCCCAACGGTTTAATCCCCAAGATGTTGATATTTGAAACATTAAATGGCAGTCTTCACTGGGGGAGTTTTTTTTTTAAAATCAGTATTTTTTATTATGATATTGTGGGGTACAGTTAAGGGTTAGGTATACAAATATGCTTTGTTCAGGCACCCTTGTTGATAAGAGGTGTCTTCCCATAGGAGTTTTTTTTAATCTTAAATATATATAGTATGCTAACTATATGGGACAGTTTGAAAATTACTTCACTCATCCACACTTTTAAAATTGTTTTTACGGATTTATCTTGCTTTACTAATAAATTATTCCTTAGTAGCTTTATAATGCTTTTAGTTTTGGTAGGGCAAAAATAAATATATTTTTTCAGTGTAATATTTTGGTATGAGATGTTAACTCTTCATGGGGACAAAATCTTGGGAGTTTTTGTCTTTTTTAAAAAAAGCATATTAGAAAGGGATGTGTTCATCTGGTAATCAATTTTGCTATAGCTGTCGTTTGCTTGTACATTAGCTAAACCACAAGAGTGAACTTATTTAGAATGTAGCTTTTATTATAATAATTTATGTCTCATCTTTAATATATAAAGTAAGGTTTTGAAATGGAAATTTATTATTTATAGCTATAACATTTTGAAGAAACACAGGAAATATATTATAGCAGAAACCATTAAGGCCTTATTATAGTTTAAAACCACCCTGTAATGTGGATTTTATTTGGGCTTTACATATATTTTTTTCCTCATTTTTTTAAACCTCATTTCATAGGCATTTAATTACAGTAGAGACTGTTCTTAACATTCTTTATTTTCTTTTCCATCTAATTTGAACCTTTAAGAAAAGAAAATTGCCAGTTTCTTGGGAAACCATTAACTCTTTCTACAATGCCATTGTGGTAAAATCCAATAAGGCCCTTAGAGGCCTTATTCTGAAATCTCTAATACATGCTCTTTTATTTGAAATTAGAGTTCTATGTAAAGAAATAGATAACTCCTAGAGGTTGATTGTGGGTATATATTTAATCAGTGATTAGTGGAGGATATATTTTTTGCAAGACTTTCCTTAATACCATACCAAATCAGGAAGAAAGTGACTAGAATAGAATAAAACATTTCTATCTCAGCTTATTTTAATTCATATTATAAACTCTTACTTTTCAAAAGATTTTTGGTAGGTGATTTTTCAAAGCACAGAAATTGTTTAATACTCCAGTCAAATATTTCCAATACATAAAACCATACCATGTTATACATGTTGAGGTAGCCTTTTTAATAGAGTTTTAAACATTTAATGGCATATTATGTAACACTTAAGTGTCTTTGTCCTTTGATATTGAGTGTATGTAGTACTACATATCCTTTAGCCAATTTGGTCAAAGCACTTGGAGAAGTAAAATAGCTGAAATATAAGCTATTTTGCTTATTAGGCTCACATTAGCCAGAAACACTTGCCATGTCATTATTAGACTTTCTAATAGCAAATTGGAATTATGTTAGATTTTGGTTAGGTTAACTAGCATTAGGTCACTTGTGATAAATTTGGTATGCTGTAATCTAGGTTTGAACCATTTTTTCATAAATAAAAACAAATTTTTGTGGTTATATTATATCATAAAAAGTGTACCCAGTGGTGAGTTTTTCTGAGGGTAGTACAAATAAATATATAGTCACCCCCTCATACATTTATTTTTTGTATCTACACATGGCTATACAATTGGAAAACATAGAAAACTATGTAATATTAAACCAGCTAATATTTATATAGATGTGGTACATTATACAAACATTTGCTTTGAATTCAGTTGATCTATGTAAATATGAGCTAAGTGACTGCTCACCTGCTTCAACTTAATTCTCTCCGCTTTCCCACTTCAAACTTTACTATCCTGAATGTTTTTAAACACAATATGCTACCATGCCTAGAATAATCCCTTCACTTGCAAAACTTTTGTAAATCCATCATTTTCCCCCAAAAGACATTCTCACTTACACAGTACCCCTCCCTGAACAGTCCTTCCCTTTCTATTTCTCTATATTTGATACATATTTATATTAATTTTTTTAATCATACAATTGTGATTATTTATTTCTATGTCCTCTATTATATAATTTCCCACTTTGTGTGGATGCCTAGCACAATGCTTGATGGTAGATGCTCTAAAAATGTGAGGGAATTGATAGAATCATATCAGATTTTTTTTTCTGTGAATTTATGCATTTGAGATCATAGCTGTGTTAGAAAATAGGTTGAAAAAGAATATGAGAAAAATACATTATTGTTCTTTTAGGAAGAGTTACCTTGTATTCTTTTTTTTTTAGAGGAAAAAATGGCCTCATTTTGATACGTTTTGTTTCTGCAAGGTTGAGTAATAATTTTTTTGAGTTGCAGTCTCACTCTGTCACCCATGCTGAGTGCAGTGGCACACTCACAGCCACCCCAGCATCAACCTGCTGGGCCCCGGTGATCTTTCCTTCTCCGCCTTCCAAGTTGCCGGAACTACAGGCGCGTGCTACCACGCCCAGCTAATTTTTTAAAAAATTTATCGTAGAGTCTCACCAAGTCGCCCAGGCTGGTTTGAACCCGCGGGCTCAGGCAGTCCACTCGCCTTGGCCTTCCAAAGTGCTAGGATTACATACTGAGCCACCAAGCCTGGCTGAGAAATAACTTAATTCAGGCTTAAAACTGTCCTGGATGCTGTTGAAATATTTGGATGTGCTTGGCCTCTGAGCTGTGTGGTATATCTGAAGACCCATGTCCTCAACAAGGAGGTAGACATATGTCTGTCTTTTTTGGCACAGGAAGCTCTAAACTTAGGAAATTATATATCTGGCCATTTATAAGTTTTAAGTTATTTAAATCTGTCTCCTCTCGCACAGTTCCTTCATAGTGCCAACTCTGAGGAACTTACTGGGGATAAAGAAATTGAAATTCATCAGGAGAGATTAAAGGGCAGCAGATTCCATAATTTTACATTGCAGCTGTTGATGACTGAGAAGTGCCTAAGGGAAAATGGGCAACAATCTAGCC